CAACGTGTCCCTCTCAACACCAGGCACTGATATCAATAATGCCCAGCCAAGTCCTTCCCCCCACAACACCACCATGTTCCTGACCACCCTGCGGATCTCTAGGGACAGAAGAGGGTGTTCCTATCATGGCCACAGGCAGCGTGGAAGCCACAAACATCTCAAGAGGTTACTGCAGAGGAAGAAGAGTCTTCCTACAACAAAACATTAAAGACAAAGAGCTTTAAAAGCCCTCTAGGAGCACTGTGAGTGGAAGCTGCAAGATTATGGTTCCAGATGGCTCCACACATACAGGACACATGTATGTCCAGCCTGTCTGGAGGGACACTGAAGGTGCATTTTAAAATCTGCCTAAAATATACCTAACTGTTTAGCAGGTATTTGTTTTTTCTTTAAAATGCAGAAGTACAAACCACATTAGACAAAAAAATTAGGGAACAGGCAGGACAGACTTCAACTCCAGTTGCTCTGGGAAAAAAAAAAACCTTCTGATCTCTCCAAACCACCCAGAGGTCCCAGATGCCCACAGTCCATGCTCATTGAAGAGACTGAGAACAGTCAGTATGTTTCAGATGGTTTTGCCTTCAGTTTTGCTTGTCATATTATGTTTTGGAAAAACATTTTTACTTTAAAAAAAAAGAAGAAAAAAAATAGATACACTACTGCACAGTAATTCTTTGTTCTTGGTGATTCAGTCTACTATATGGCTGTGTTCCTTACATATTAGGCCAAAAAGTACTGGAAGTCCTACCCCAGAGGTTAACACTGACATTTACTTCAAATGCAGGAATTTTTTAAACCCCTTAGTGTTTTATAAGGAATATATTGTACCAAGCCATCATCCTCTTGCCTTCTGAATGTTTTTGCCAAGCAGTAAGGAAGCTAAAAGCAAGTCTTTGCACAGCCTGCAGGAGGCAGGATCCCAGGACTGGTCTTTCAACCACACTCCTGCCCAAAACAGGGTATGGCTGAATCAGAGAATTTACTTTGTAGGGAACAGGGAAGAATAGCACTGGTTTTCTCCTTAAGGTTGTAGGAATACACACAGATAAAAGAGGTTTTAAAGGAGCTTGCTTTCTGCAGTGAGCAGATTTCAGAGATCCTCGCACAGACATACCTTGCTCATTTTCACCTGCCTGTCCAGGCTGCAACAGAAAATGTTGATGTGAGATTCCCACTCCTACATCACCCATCTCCCATCCTTATCACCCTGCTGGCAGCACACATGTGGATCAAATCGGGTGCACACTGACCATGGGACTTCAGGACAACTAGCACCCCACCCCCTGAGAGCAAGCTGAAGTCTGCTTTACACCCAAAACTTCCCGCTAAGACTGTTTCACAAAATCTTAATACCTTCAATGAAATCAAAGGTCAGAAAGAAAAGAGGGGAAATAACCACAAAAAACACTTCAAAAATATCCCAGCCTCATAATAGTACTATCTGCAGGCTGAATTCAAAAATTTGACCTAGCAAGCTTAATAATATACTATTAAAACAATTTTTGCCCCAGTTTTCTTTCACCTTTGGACACAGATAAACAGCATGACTGTGCCAGAGCAAGATGCAAAAAGTCTTACCAGATGAGTGAAGCACCTAAATGTAAATAAATGCACTGGTCTTAAATGGAGCCTCATGCTGTACCTTCCTCAAGACATACTGAACATAATTTCAGTTTAATATTCTGGTTCTCATTATGGACCTTGGAGACTCTCTCAAGCACCATGAAAAAGCAGTATTAACCCAGCCCTCGGCACTGGGGACAGCAATCCAGCCAAATTATTCATGCTGGTCTTTTGCTTCAATTTTTGTAGTCTTAACTTAATGTTCTTAAACAAATCTGAAAGGAGGATGGCTGACAAATAGAACAGATTTTACTTTAGACATTACAGACAGCCATGTTATGCAGCCTTGAGTCATTAAGCTGAACTCCTAAGGGGAGTTTCATTGGAGCGGGGAGTAAAAACTGACACAGAGCTTGTGGTTGTCATAGCCAAGCACTGAGAAGAAAGAGTGTTAAAAAAGGGAAGGGGAAAAAAAGGAAGGAAAAAAAAACAGGGGGAGGGAGAGAAAAAAGAAAGTGAAGAGAAAAAAAAAAAAGAAGGAAAAAAAAAAGGGCAGGGGGAACCCAAGCTGCCACACTCTCCTTTCCTCTCTTTGTAATCCAGCTATGAAGATTAACCTCAAATCCTGATTTCAGAGATGGGGGAAAGATAAGAAGTGATTTGCAGGTGTTAGCATTTTCCTACAGATCTTCAGGGCAGCCCAACTGATTTGAAGATGAAAAACTGGCATGGGTACACTTGATGGGTGGACTAGACACAGCAAGCAGGGCAGAGAACCAGTTTCTATCCCTACATGTTACACTTGCACAGAAACATCAGGATGCCCATGAAATACTCATCACTGTTCCACAAAAAGATGAACTGTGTTTTCACAAATGCAGACAGAAGTGGATATAGAGCCCTGTGCAAGAGCAGCCAGGTCCCAGGTGCTGTGGGCAGGCACAGCAGCAGCAACAGGGACACCAGAGATGCCTGACACATCCCAGGCCAACTGGCATCTGCAGCCACTTTATCTCCCCCAAATGCCATTACCCGCTCTAACTTTATTTACTAAAAAAAAAAAAAGACCATTTTCACTCCACAAAATTAATGTGGCCTGGGGTCGGTGCCAGGAAAAAGGGTGGAAAAAGCTGCCCCTTATTTATATATTTTAACAGAACAAGGCAAAACAGTTTGCTGCTAGAAATAAACACTAAACCTTGCAGAACCTCCCCCCCTCCCAAAAAACCCACTGCTCTCCCCCCTCACTCCCTCCTCCGCCTCCTCTCCCTCCAACATTGTAAGTAGCACAAAAGATCACATTACAAATGCCAGCTGTGGCTCTTTCGGGAGAAGGTGGCCTCCATCTCGGAGGTAGTATATGTTCCTCATGGCCTAAGTGGTTGCTATGGTAAATATGCTTTTTATTGAATAGCAGAGTGAAACAGCTTTTAAAGAGATCCATAAGAACCCCATAAATGGTCAAAACACAAAGCAGATCAACCTCAGCCTCCCTGGAAGCAGGTTTCGCTTCGTTTTCCAAAATGATTGTGATTTTTGAACCCTTTTTGTAAGTTTTGTTGACCACTCATCTCCACCTCGCCCACACCTGGGTGGAAGGGCTGGAGAGAGTCAGGGGAGCTGAGACCCCAGTCAAAGCCCTGAGCACCACAGGCTGCTTTGGGTTTCAAAGGCAAGTGTCTGCTCTCCTGCAGGGCAGGAGGCTTAGGGACACTGGATGCTCAGCACTGGGAAGCTCAGATGATCCCAACCAAATTCATCCTGCCCTCCCCAGCTGCAGCTACCCAGGAGAAGCCTATGGCTCCCTCTCCATCGCTTCCTAGGAGCCTGTTCCACCATGCCAGAGCCACGGGAACATTCCCACCCCATGTCAGTCCTCCGACACAGCAGTAAAAAGAAAAGAAGTAAAATAGGAAAGTTTCTCTAGCTCATTTCTTATTAGGAGTAAGATGATGGCAGGTTTTGATGACTGTAGATTTCTGATTAAGCAGCCAGACATCTTTTCTCTGATCTCTTCCTCCAGTGACAGCCCAGGTGGACAGGAAGGAAAAGCAAAGTAATTCTGAAAAGTGAAGCAGCCAGCACTAGGTATCAACTGGGCAGATACCAGTCTTGTTCCAATTGCTCTCTGATGATTTGAAGGATGGTTTAGAAGCTATGGATTCTAAAATACAGGAAATCTTTTTTTTCCTTTTGAATAAAGAACTATGACACTCATCACAATGGGCTGACAATTCTCAATTTAAAGAAACAACAATGGAAAAGGAAGCACCTCAAAATGTTTAGTGTGATTTGAAATTTCTAGAAAAACCAATGTGTGCCTTGGATGATCTACCAGCTGTGTCAGCTCTAGACTATAGAGCAGAAAGTAAACAATGAGCAGTTTCTTTTCCTGGCATTTACCTTATCATCCAATGGTCATAAAAAGTTTTTTTTAAAAATCACATTAAACTTTATGATTTTTTTTCAGAAGAAATATTCTAACCCACCACATGCCATTCTCTCCAGAGTAGATGTCCCAGTTGAACAGTCAGAGCTAAGAAGCTATTTAACAATAGATGGCACTGACACTGGTTGTGGGTGAGGATGGACCACTGCATATCTCTGCTCTTGCAAATCACCACATAAACAAACCATTTCCTATTACATCTCTATGGATGTTATTTTAGAAAGTAAAATAAACCCCCAAACCACTCTCATGTAAATTTGTACTGAACATTGCAAACTCAACATTGTTTTCACAACAGAAGCACAAGAAAAATTAACCGAGAATTTAAAATTTAAGTTAGAAGTTAATAAATAACAGTATTTTTTAAAATACTATTCATTATAAAGAGAGTTTTCTATTTTGCATGTAGTAGTAAATATTTGATACCAATGTTTATACTAAATGAGTAGCCATCACAACACAAAGGAACGTGTGCTTTGTTGAACTAGGCTCTTTTGAGCCTTCACCCAGGTAAAAATCCTGACCAACTCTCATGCTCTCATCCAAGATTTTACAATAAGAAAAGATTTCTTTAAGTAAAGGACATTGAATAGGCTTGGTTTTGATTTTTCTAAGGCAATCTTAAGTCTAAGCTTTCCAGACCATCTCTTCACTCTCTTTACTTCAACACAGATAGGTCAGATGTGTAAACCAGCCTGACTGGACTCCACTGCCACTACATAATCCTGCAGTGTGTAAATTTAGAGCATTTTTACTCCCTAGTCTCCTGTAAGGCACATGGATGATAATTTCATAATTATCACTGATAACACAGCCCAGTGATAACAAAAGTATTCCCTCCTTTTACCACAGGCTTGTTAGGGATTTGTTTGTTTTGAAGTATTTCTCCTTTGGTCTGTGTAAAAGAAAACTGATGACAACCATTGCCATTAATGTCAAATGCTTTTTTTTTTAAACAAAGGAAGAATATCTTTCTGCGTTTACTTACAACAATGTGTGCTGGAGATGGAGACCTAGCATCCTTGAGGGCTTGTCTACTCTGAAGGCTCCCTGCCTGAACATCAAGCAGTGGCCATTTCATCTGCAGATACTGGATGGAGGAAACAAAAATGGGAAAAGAAAAATGAGTTCAGAAAAGAAAGGCAAAAAAAAAACCAAAAACAAATCTTAGGTAACATGGATAAAAAAGTATAAATCAAAACTTATGCAAGGAACTGAAACAAAAAATTAAGACAACCTTACATGTTTGTGGATACAAAATCTGTGCAGAACTAACAATCTCATACCGCTGTGTTACAGTTCAGGAATAAGAAAAAAAAAACAGATTGCAAAAACAGTATTATATTAATTTTACTAATTGTAGCAAATCTGGAAGTAGCATAAAACCCACAAAGAAACAAAATAGCACAACCATGGAGAGGATGGGACAAGGGAAAAGGTGGATATCAATGTCAGGAGAGGGAAAACATATAATGAATTAAGAATATGATCTCATTACTGAATGGGTCATCTGTTAGCCTTCTTTCAACAAATGTACCAAGTCAACTGCTCCAGCTTCCCAGTGCTGTACAAGCCCTAAAGACAGGGCACTACCCCAAAAAGACTGCTGGGTCTTAGCAGATATTTTCTCTACTTTTCACCATTTCTGAAAGACACCATGGATTTTCTTCTGGCTTATCTTCCGTCAGACAACCCTGGCTGGGGGACAGCCACAGCTTTTCTGTGGCACTGCCCCACCACAGACAGCAGACAGGCTGGACACACACAGGTGCCCTGTCTGCAGCATATGGGGGAACTGACTCAAAAACAAGAAAAGCTTCAGCTCCCTGCACCAGAAGTGCTCAGTTCTGAACAAAAGCAGGCCCACAGAGAAATCAGTTATCCCAAACAAACTTCTGTGCTGTACATCTAAATATAATTTCAGCCCAGGCTTTTCTCTCTGCATGCTGCTGTGCTGTCCCAGTTAACACAGGTTAATATGGGACTTCTAAAAGCCCTGTATCATGCTGGAAGAAATGTGTATGGCTACATACATTCACCCCCTCCCATAACTAAGAAAAGCAGCTGCACACATAGATCAGGCCACTGCAGAAGCTCCTATTTTAGCACTAGACACTGCTTGACCTGACAGATCTATTCCTAGAAAATACCTACCAGAGAAATAGTTATGTTTACCCATTCCTGCCTTTTTTTTTTTTTTTTTTAAGTAAGAGTAGTCTTGAAGAACCACCATGCACAGACAGCCCCCGGCACTCCAGGCAAACAGCGGAAGCTGTATCTGAATCTCCATGGAGGAAGGAAGGAGATCTGGTTCCATGCTTTCAGCACATCACTATCTATCACATTTGCTCACGTATGCAAAACATTTGCTCACATGCAAGGCCTGTTTGCTGCAAGACTCCGGGCACTGAGGTGCCCAAAAGGCAGAAGCCAGCAGGAGAATGTGTTACCAATTCCCATCACTTGGAGGGCCTGAGTTTTCCGAGCTACTGGAATGCAAATAAACAAACCCATACTCTGGATTTGTGCCCCATATGAGTTCCACAAGTTCCAAGAAGTCTTGTTTTTATTCATGTTCACATTTGGGATTTGTGCAATGTGGACCAGAATGTTTCAGCACTTCTTAAAAACAAGAAATAAAACCCAAACAAACCAGAACTAGACTACCGATAAGCAATATTTCTAAGTCTTACAACTCAATTGAAAGTCTCCAGATATTTGATCACTTGCATCAAATCCCTGCTCTTCAATATATGTGACCACAACATAAATTTTAAAGTTGAGATGATGTTAAAGCAACTTTCTAACCCTTTGTGGTTTCAAAAAAGTGAATAAAAATGCAACCCGAGTGTGTAGAATTTGGACCCAAAGCTTAAGCCAACTGAGAGCCAACTTGTAAACTTGAGGGGAAATCTGATACAGGACAGATTTTCAGATGGCACTATTAAACAAGTACACTGCTACATTTTCAAAAGTCCACCAGTTTTCTTAGACAGCCATGAAAACACTACCACATAAAGGGGCGCATGAATTTCCAGAACGGGTCCTGATGGGTCACAGCTACTATTGGCTTGCTCAGGTTTTCCAGACAATCAGTGAAGTGTTTTTCCCTTCTTCCAAGGAAAACGTCCTCACAGGATGTGTGCATGACTCTGCTTCAAAGTTCGCAGTGGTTTTTGGAGAGCAAGAAGCTACTGCTGCCACAGCTGAAGCCTCTACAAGAACATGACAGCTCAAACTGTGGATTTTCAGGGAACAGACACCAAGCCATTACCCACAAAAATAAACTCATCATCTTCATTTTTCCATGACCACTCCACAGTCACAAGCAGCCCTGGAATATCCATACAGCCATGACAGCCTGTGAGGAGCTCAGGTCAGCAGCTGTCCTAAAACACAGGCTGAGAAACATGTGGGCTTCTCTGAGTCTGCCCCAAGGGCAGACAGAGGCATTGACAAGCAGCAGGGGTGAGCTCACAGCAGACCCCATCCAGTCAGTAATTATTGCAGGGATTACAAAGCCTCCAGGACTGTCAGTTGTGCTGGTTTTTACTAGCAATAAATTCCATTAGAAGAAACAGAGCAAGAAGGCATGGCTGCTCCCACTCCACCTCTATCCCGCAACAGCCCGTGCTCTCAGCCCATACTTTCAGCTCCTACACCAGGCTGACCTTAGGGCAAGATGAACGTTTCAGAAGATCTTACTGTTACACTTTTTTTTTCTCCTTTTAAAACCCTTAGTCTGGACTCTCAGTAAAGCCCTTCTCTTACCCACCCCTGGCAAAGAGGATCCAAGAAGTCTCACAGTGCAAAGGCTAAAGCACAAACAGCTTCTTTTGGACATGCACATGAAGCCCAGCAGGAAGAGTCCAAACCCGGAGGGCTCAGTTTTGCACACAAGCACAGGCATGGACAGCTTCCATTTCTACCAGTGGATAACACACTAGTGGGAGACAAAATCAAATAATCCCAGACCCAAGGGAAAGCAGTAAAGCACAAGGGTCGATATAGCAACTTCCATGAGTTCTACCAAGTGGCCAGGATCCAGAGCAGCCTCCCAGCCCTGCTAAGGGTAAGATGTTCTGTCTGTCAGATAAGCAGAGGGGGCCAGAGCCCACAGCCAATGCCCACGTCAAGCTAGTGAACCCACACCTTCAACAGCAGGATGTTTGCAAAAGCAAAAAAATGTTTGCTGGCTTCAAAATGCCAGCCCTGTTGATAAAGTATGAAATATTAGCATTGTTTAAGGTGACGAGCCTGACTCAAGGCCTCCTCATCCAAGAATTGTCATGCCTGTAACACAATATTGATGTGGTGGCTTATAATTCTTACTTTACATAAAAGCCTCATTGTGTGCCAAATTCAATCTCCACAGGCTACCTGAGCCACAGATTTTTACAAGTCTACATTTCAGCGCTGCGAGTCTACAATACACATAATTTTCAATTATGTTAGGGCAGAACAGGATCACTGCCTATATAACATTACTGGTTGGAGGAAATGAGACTCAGCCCTACTGCCGAGAGAGCTAACTGGATCCAGATGGTGGCCGAGCGCCGCAGCCGGCCCGGGGAGCGACGTCGCGGCAGCCACCCCCTCCACAACTCTCTCTTTCACGGTGCAGGGACATGCCAAGCCCTTGCTGGGCTGGGAGCTGTCACAGGAGGATGCTTGGGCAGGGGGGAATTGCATGGAGAGGAGGGAGAGTTGTGATTGCTCTCGCAGGTTTACTACTGCTGCCCTACACTATGATATTCTTATTGAAAAGGAGAAAAATTAAGTCCTGCTGCAGCAGAGAGGTAAATCCTTTCCTTCCTCAAGCAACTAAATAGCAGGAAATCCTCTTCTCTTGGCCCTAAATGCAGATTTGAGTCAGACAGTTCCTCTGATTTGCAAGGAGTCCACAAAAATCCAAAGCCGATTTTCCCAGCCTTCTGACACTGCTTTTAAAACATTTCTTCACCGGGCAGCTGCGAGGGGGCAGAAGGGTAAGAGGGAGGGAAATTTCCCACCAGCCTGCTCCTGCAAATGCTGGACACCCGCACGCTCCTCTGCTGCTTCTTGTGTCTCGCTGTGGAAATCAGGACTTGCCTGTACAAACACTGAACTTTTCAACAAATTAACTCTAACAAATCTGTGCAAATTATTTCAGAACAAAACTGTTGAAATGGGCTCTGCTGGCCTGCTTTTAACATTTTTTTTAAATAATGTCATCGTGGTGCAAGTACTTTATTCCCTGTTTAACAACATGATCTGATGGGGATCATTAGCATGTGTGCGTTTAAAAAAAAAAAAAGTTTTATGGCAAGTCTCAGAGAGCTTAAACAAAATAATTGTTAAGCTCCAGGCCTCCACACAAGAATTAAAACAAGTTTGGGGCGAGCATACTTGAGAGAAACCAAAGCTTTTAAAAAGGCTGTTAAATTGTCAGCACAAGGGAAAAGGCAAATGATTTGAATGGCCCAGATTTTTTCTGTAGAAAGGAACAAAAAACACAAGCCCAAGAACCTTCCTACACATCCACACCTCCCATCTACATCCAGAGGGTTCTGCAAAGCACAGACCCGCCGGGAGCAGTTCTGCATAGCCACCCCCCAAAGCAGCCACCTTGTGAGCTCTGGCTGGGCAAACAAACATCTTCCCCAAGTTTTCACAGCAGAGTTGGTCAAAAGCAGCTGAACTCCACATCCAGCACTCGAGGAGTTTGCTGGAAGCTCTAACTCAGGGCCAGCAGCTGCCCCACAGGCCAGGGCAGGGCTCACAGCAGCGTGGCTGTGGAGGAAAGGATGGCACTGAGCTCACAGGTGTTTCCTGCATCAGTGTCCAACCTGGACCTGTCCCCTTGTCACACTATTGTTTTCAATACTAGATTGCCCTACAAGTGATGCTCTTCAACATATAAAAACATAAACACAGTAAAGGGGGGGAAAGGCCATATTTTTAAACAGAAGGAAAGCTGCACAATGCTTTCCAGCTCAGGTTTCCTGCAGCTGGTGCTTATTAGCTCCCAGGAACTGAAACAAGCAGGAGCAGGGCTCCTGCAGACAGCTTGATGCCACTGGTCTCCAATACCTCCCCTAACCACTGGAT